AAAAAAAAAAAAAAGAAAAAAATTATCTGAATAGCTGCAAAGGTTGAAAAAAAAAAACCTATGTCATCTTAAGGGGGCATTTTAAGGTGAAAATATGTTAAAATCTTAGATGCTCCATTAGTACAGAATGCTGCCCTGCTGTTACCTCTGACCCAATCTTATGACATGACTTGATGCTGCAACTGATCTAGATTGAAGCAGAAAGTGTACTTTTCTCCCATCAAGAAACCAATTTCTTAAAGACGTTTTTAATAATTTTGCCAGCAATGCTGTTCATTTTGAGCAGTCCATAGTCTTAAGAAATACAAGGCATACACAAAGCAGAAAGCAAAAAAAAGATAAAAAAAGAGTATTCTATTCCTGAATAATTTACTCAGGAACCATATTTAAATGCCTAACAAATACATACTATACATACATTATCTAATACAAAAGAAACTGACAGCACATTAAGAAAGAAGTTGGACTCCAAGCAGATATATGAAAAAAAATTAGTGGATCCTTAAGCTTCAAATTTTCTAGTTCCTTTCTATTTCCCTTTCTGATCACAACTGCAACACATTCAAATCAATCTTTAATGTATACTACAATAGCATACAGCTTGGGTAGGAAATTTGGAACAAATGAAAAATGCAAGATAGCAAATTTGTGTTTACTTCATTCACTCCTGGGAAGTCTGTAGCCTTTACAGGCTCAATGAGCTCACAAAATTCAAGTGCAAATTGTGATTCTCATTTTTTCACTATTCCTAATAAACAGCACAGAGAATTACAGAGAATTTAAAACCATTATGCAAAAGACAACCAGCTATACAGACACCTCCTATTAATTACATCCCTACAGGTTTTGAACTGAGTACTCACTGACAGAAGTCAATATACTTGGAAATAAATGTTTAGAGATTGCATGACATATGGGTATCACCAAGCGGGTACAGCACTGTATGAACAGCCATGATGTTTGGAAGAAAGAAACGAGAGATGACTTAACGATAGAAAAAACTAGTCCTCATACAGGAAGTGGAAGAAAGTAGTACAGAAGGAATAGGGTTTATTGTTGCACAATCTGCACAGACTCCTGCTATGACTGAGCAATTCTGAAACAGTGCAAGTTCAGGAAGACAAGCAGACAAAAGTTACCCATCCAGGATAACACAGGTAAGAATCACATGAGGAGTTGAGAATTAGCAAGAATTTTGACATCAACAGTCTCAAGTTAGTGCTGAATGCTTTTGTTAAGACCACCCAAAGAGTTTGAAAACATATAACATGCAGTTAGTACATCCTAGCAGCCTTCATGCCATCTCCTTAAGAACAGCATAAGCAAATTGCAGAGTGAAATAGGAAACATTCCAATCTTTAAGAGACAAAGTGGTATACACTGGAATAAGATTTTCCAATAATCCCATGGTAACAGTGGCAGATCTGAGTTGTGGTTTTCAAGTACACGAGCTGTAATTTGGTATAATGTAAGGAGCTGAAAGAGCTTTTCTGAAGTTTAAACGTTATTTTGTTCTTACTTTCTAAGGTTCCAAGTTTAACTGCTAGGATTATAGATTCACATGCAAAGTCCTCAAACTTAGCTCAGGTTTATTTTTCCTTTCAGTGGTCAAAAGCTAAGCAAACACACATGTTAGCAAAGGGAGTCACTACTCAGCAATGAAACAATCAACAAAGGAAGTGATGTTAGAATCCATATTTAAGATTAACCAGGGCAAATGCAACTATGATGGAAATGATGACTGCATCCAACAAGATGAGGTAACAAACAGGAAAACAAGTTCAAACACAAGAAATGAGCTTAAATCTAAACAAGAATGGAATCCACAGAGAGGAAAGGACACAGATACAAGTAGCACAGACACAAACAGCACAAAATCTACTCGGAAGTTTAAGCACAGAGAAATGTTAAAATTGTAAGTAATGGCGTTGCATTTATATAGCACCATCCATCCAAACAAGACAAAGCGCTTTACAAATATTAATGAATTGAGCCACAGTGCCTTCAAAGGTATCCATATTCAATTTGAAGTGTGGTGTAACACTACTCTGAAGAACACCAGTGACATCTTTATTGAGTCTTTCCAATGCAGGCAGACCCCTATGAAACACTCCTATTTCTAAAGCATTTATATATCCCAAGAACACATACTACACTTTTATACTCTAGCAGAAAGAAGACTCAAAAGGTATATAATCAGTGTCTATAAATACTTATTCACTAACAAGAGAATGACACAAAATTACTCCTATTCTCAAAAGTTGAAATTGAAGGAATGGTCTACACTTCAAAGATAAAGTGTGTTTAACCAAACATTGCAGCAAAAGCTTCCATGGTTAAGTACCAGCAGCACTAGAAAAAAGCACTGCCAAAGAATAATTCTAAGATATCAGCACTGCACATTGAGAAAACTTTACATAAAATTACATCATAATAATTCTGTAAGAAATTCATAGACTCCACGTGTACCTTCTGGCCCATCTACCATTCTGCAATATCAGAAACACACTGAAGAGAGAAAAAGCAGAAGGAAACAAGACAACAAACCTTACCCTCTGAGCTTTTGCAAGTTCTTCTTTCAATCGTTCATAGCCCTTTTCTCTTACTTCCAGTACAGATGGGCTCCGTAAGTGAGATAAACTGTCTGTACTCAACCCAAAAATATCTTCATTTCCTTCAGCAACATCTGCTACTGTAGCACCCTGCAAAAACTCTCTCTCTACGTTATTGCTCTCCTTCCTGGCATTATTGTGATTGAATGACCCACTCTGGGGTCCAGAGGTAGAACAATGTACTGCGTCGGTAACATTGATGCTGTAAAGAGAGTGATATATTTTTTTATTTATACATTATATTAAGAATAAATATTTTAGAAATGGCAGTAGTGGTATTGAATGCGCAATTATGGACACAATGTAATATTACAATGTTCTAAGCAATATTATTATTACACCTTTAATAAAGCAAACAGTTTATATGCAACAAACATCAGAATTTAAATAAAAAGACATGTGGACTTTACCTGACACCCGATATTTCTCCGCAATTCAGCTGTCTGGGAGATGAATAAACAGGTTGTGTGGGAAGGTCGGAAACATTTAATGTGTTGGGCTGGACTGGTGTGGAGGACACAACTGAAGGATGTGGTCGGTAGATTACACTGGGTGAGGTAGCTTGTTCCTGAGTCCCTGGCTCATTTACTCCAAGAAGATCTGGGGTGGTAGGCGAAGCGAGGTTCACTTCATGAAAGCCTTCCAAGGGGTCACTGGCCATAATAAAAGCCTCATCATATGAAACCCTGAATTAAATAATCACAAGAACACGTTTAACTATATCTGATAGATATTTGAATTTAAAAAAACCCACCCAAATGTGTTCAGAATATTTCATGACAGAATGGAAACTGGACTATTCCTGAAAAAGTATGAACTTCAACCACCAAAAATGCCTTTTCCATGCATTGCACTGTTGAGTCCAGAAGAACTAACAACAGACTTCGCATCTAAATGGGATGATGAAATCAAGAACACAATCTACATCATAAACCCAAGCAATCTTTAATATAGCCTAAAGCTGTTTTGTATCAAAACAGATACATTTCATTCATGAAAGAGGAGATCTAGGAATCAGTGAAGAAAAAAAAAAAAACCTAAAGCTTTCACTTTTAATCATAATGAAACAAATAATGTAGGGCAGAAATCAGTGAACCTTTAAATAAATTACAGTCCATAGTGGGTTTGGTTAAATTACACATCTGAACTTGTAACAGTTCACTGAAATGACAGATTTAGCCAATAAAACTTCTCACGAAGTATGATGATGTGTATTTAATACATCACATGATTAAGTGATCATGACAATTGTGAATAAGTATCATACCAAAAATATATTACAGGCAAAAAAGTACTAGGAATTGGCAATTTAACCAACAAATCTTTTCATTTGCTTTTTTGATTACTTATGCTTTTCATAAGATCAATAGCAAACAAGTACAACACATGAATTTTACAAGTCCAAACAGAAATCTATTTTCCAGCAGCTCATCAGAGATGACAAAAATATTTGCACAATTCAAAACTAAGCTGTAAGTAGCACGGAGAAATTTGTGAAGAATTGACACAGCAGTGACTATTCACTGCAAAAAAAAAACCAAAACCACACAACATTTTCCATGTTATATAAATAAAGAAGAGGAAAAAATTAAAGCTTCAACAAGGTACTTAACATGCAAAAAAATATATATCCAGTTCATTAGCTACTTCATAAAACACATGGAAAACACCAAGAATGGAATCCCAAATTTATCGTACGAAGTAATGTTTTAGCTACGTTAATACTTTCTGATCATCTTAAACTCAAAGAACGCTGTTGAAAACTGTTCTGTTTCTCAAGTATTTTGCTGTGTATA